CTGAATTAGGCTCTCCTTAGTTGGAATCTTTAATTTCTGATATATTTTTATCTTTTTCTTATTCATTCTGGTATGTAATAATCTTGTAATAAACTGCTGGAGTGTTAGTGAAAAAGGGAGGGTCAGTCATGCATGCAAAGGGGTAGATACCATGTTCATAGGGAATTATTATACTTCTGAAATTCTGCATCTCATGTAGATACCATGTTCATAGGGAATTCCTATATTTCTGAAATTCTGTATTTCAGGTAGATACCATGTTCATAGGTTTTTCTACACTTCATATAGATACCATGTCTATAAGTCGTTTTTGAAATTCTGCATATCATATAGGTAATATGCCTATAGGACTTCCTGCATTTTGCATATGCATTTGTCACTAGGCAAACCTGTTTATAAGATTTAAATAAATAACTGCATATAGATGACCTGCCTATAGGATTTCTGCATGACAATAACAGCGCTTAAAATCAGTAACGCCTAGAAAGCATGCCTATAGGAGCTATCAACCAAACCTGAATCGTCAACTCGCTTATAATCCTAAAATCAGTAGCAATAATGTTTAACGCCTGCAGATCTTATGACCCTGTAATCGACAATTCTTTTTTCTGCAATCAGTTTACTTCTTTATTTCTGAAACTAATAGATATCATGCCTATAAGTTCCGTTTAACACCTAGGCAAGCTTTAGGTTAAAAACTATAATTGCATCAGTCTTTGATAATTACAACCAGCAGGCAGGCCTAATTCGGAATTCTTATCTGAAAATATGTGATAAATCAGCCTGCCTTAATGTTTAAGTTTAATTCAGACCTAATCAGTACGTGTAAGACATGCTAAACTATATAATTTTCTCTGATTTAAGGAGGTTTATTTGAGCCATATTTGCTTACTTGCTTTCCCAATACTTGCTGTATATGTTTTGAATGTCGCCTTAAAATTTTATCCTTTTTAAAAAACTGCAAAAGCCCCAGCTCCTCCCCTTTAGGATTAGTAGTCCCATATGCCTCCGGGACTGATAGGATTGGGACGGGTAATAGCATGCAATAAGTAACGTTACTATTCTGCGCTTTAATACCTTAACGAGGTGGGAAGGGTATATATGGACATGATGACCGATGCGCTAATATCACGTGCGACCCCTCTTTTTTGAGGAATAATTGTTGGGTATTGCATTGAAGTGATCCATATTAATCGTAAACGTAGGACCCCCCCCCTCCCCTTATTTTCTTTCATCTCTTCTGGTGAAACCATTAAAATCTTTTTTTTCATAAATTTTTGTCCTCTCTGCTTACCTTCAAAAGTTTTCAACCTAATTGCAATGTTGTATGTAAGTCCTTATTTGAGCCTTGATTGTTTACTTGTAAAGTCACAATTGTAACATGGTCGGGACCATACTAGTGGATCTTGAGGGGTGCCTAACACCTTCCCCTCGGAGATAACTTCTAGCCCTTACCCGAACTCTAGTTTTTTCCAACTCAAATCTTTTTTAAAGTGTCCTAATGCACTATAATCATTAGGTGGCGACTCTTCAAAATCCCAAAACCCAATTCTCGAAAGGGAATAGAGTTGTCCTCCCAATGTCGTATACCCGATTTCGACCCGTAGAAAAAGGGGGCGTCGACAGTATTAATTTTATATGGTACCATAAATTATTAAGATTTTAGTATTTTAATTGTAGTATTTTATGTAAGTCGATATAATGTAATTGGTTAATTACCGAGCAACGAGACACTACCTAATTACCTAATAAGTGGATAAAGATTTAAAATACTCACCCACCCCACGTGGCAACAAGCCACTTCTTGGAGAAGTGACTCTTTAAGTTAATTTTCCTTAGGAGGCAACTAAGGTACAGTGTGTAATCTTAAACATATCCTACTTGTTTATCGTTTTTTCATTGCTTGATTACCACGAGAGAACAAAATTGTTGTAATGGTGCCATTATCAATTAGGAAATCTATTGCAATCTTCTGATTTATTCCACCTAGAAGCTTGGTTTAAGAAAGATCCTTTGTCTTCCTAGTTACAAAAAAATCATTTGATTAGCTAGAACAAAAATACATGGACACCAGCCTATTATTGTCGTCGTTTACACTTGTACGTTGTAAGATATGTGGTTTTCCGCCTTTCCACAGCATGTGGATATTAGCATTCAGTTTTTCATGATTCCTAAAGTTCCATCATGGCCACATCTATGAGGAAAGAACAAACACTCATGCCCTGCGTCAGACTTTGTTTTTTTTGCAAGTTACATTCAAGGCCACACTGTGAGGAAAGAACAAATAATCATGCCATGCGTTATGGACTTTTTCTGCATATCATGTTCAGATGAAGCAGGAATCCTGCTACTGTTCTTTTACTAGGATATCAGAGAACTAATTGTACCCATATCTCCTGGAAGTATTCTTCATGCCTCGTGTGGTCGTGCCTCAAATGTCCTTCTCTTTGTATGAATATAATGATTTTTTTGTGAAGAATCGGCTCAAGTATGTTAAGCCTATCCCTTCTTTCTTTTAGCATGGTCCAAATTATACAGAAGAAACGAGCAAACACACAGTTTTCATAGATTACTCTATTCACAGAAATACTAGGAGTGTCTCTATTCTTGATTCCCTATGTGAATTATTATTATCTTCTGTTCATGGGTCTCAGAATAATACGCAGTTGAAAAAATTTATCCAGAAGGAATATTGAGATTTTTACGTATTTCTCATGCATTTCACTTATTTATACATGTGCATTGACCCATGACCAGATGGCGTTATATACGCGTATATATGTAAATATATGTATATGGGATATGAGAAAAGGTTACGACGTTATATAAGCACCACCACCTGATCAGCTGGTATACGTTGGTGATTTACCCACAGTGGCCGAAATGATATGATGGGACGCCCTCAGAGGCGTGATGATTTTATAGTGTTATATACACGTATATATATATATATATATATATATGTATATGGGATATGAGAAAGGTTATGACGTTAAATATGCACCACCACCTGGTCAGCTGGTATACGATGATGATTTTACCAAAGTGGCTGAGATGATATGATGGGATGCCCTCAGAGGCTTGATGATGTTCTGAATACATGTACCTATGCATGACACTATAAGTATTAAATGATAGACAGAGTTATCCAGACATACAGGTTGAGTTTTGTACTCCATGTTTCTTTCATGCTCTTCATATATTTATTTACATGCCTTACATACTCAGAACATTATTCGTACTGACGTCCTTTTATTGGGGATGCTGCATTCATGCATATAGGTATAGATAATCAGTTTGACGAGCCCTCATAGTAGACGAGGTCAGCATTCAGCGAAGGATCGGTAAGACTCCACCTTATTCGGAGTGTAGCCGAGTTTTATGAGTCATCGTGTCAGAATTTTGCTACACACTTATGGGTAGGCCGGTACTATGTCCTATTTGATGTCAAATAATCTTAGAGTCTTTGTAGACAGAGGTTCATTTTGTGCTGTATGTTAGAGGCCTTGATGTCCCATAGGTATTCATGTTTTAAGAAAGATGTTTCATTAATATAACATTTGCCCACTTACAATTGTATATTACGAGTTGTGGCCATGTTGGCCCATGATAATTATAAAAGGAATGAATGAGTTACAGAGTGGTTCACTCGGGCCACTACGGCATCAGGTTCCAGCCACGCCTCCCCAGGTTCGGGGCGTGACAAAGTGGTATCAGAGCGGATCGTTTCCTAGGGAATCTACAAAGCCATGCCTAGTAGAGTCCCACTTATGGATGTGTTGTGCACCATATTTATAATTGAGAGGCTATATGGGATTTAGGAAATGTTACCTTTCTTTTTTTTTCTAGATCGTGCCATAGAGCTGAGTCGTAAGAAGTCGGTATGAAGCTTTCGCTTGATTTTGTATGCACCAGAGGTGCAGGTATCACACAAGAACATTAAGGCATAATGTGGAAGGGAGGTTATAAAAGAAACCGAAGATACAATGCGAGATTGAAAGGTAAGTAAGTTAAAGGTAAAGAAGATACGACATACTCAAGTACGAAAGGCTTCTTAAAGTGCCCTTAAGCCCTGAAGCTCGTGAAGCTCAAATTGTTCGCTTTACCTCATTTAGTTGGGCTTCAGTGTAGGCGAGGTGCTAAAACATGGTGTCTTAAGCGCATATCAAAATATACATAGCTTAATTATAGTTTTTCTATACATTTGTCCAAAAAAAATTATTTGTGCTTATATTTACATTTTCTTGTATTACATTTCTATTTTCTATTTTTTCTTGGTTGGCGTTTTTCTTTGCTAAATCACGTTTTTATTATGCTTTGTACTTAAAGTTCCAATAGACGTTTGCGCTTTTTCGTACTTTTGACTACTCTGGAATTAGAAAAAGATTGTATGTACCCCTACCAAAACTTCCTCGGCTTTGTTTTGGTGGTTTGTTTTGCATTTCTCAGCTTTTTTGTTAGTTTCTCACTCAAGGTATGCATTTAGAACTATGGAGTTGCAGTAAAAGATGAAAAATCGAGCTTTTGGCATCTTGGCAGAATAAGTTGAGTTAAGATGAAAATAAAAAAAAGAAAAAAAAATCGACGCACATAATTAATTGAGATTCAGCAGGAGGGCCAGATGGTTTTACTGGACTATTCTACCAATCTTGCTGGGAGATTATAGGTGAAGACATTGTGCAGATGGTATTATCCTTCTTCTGTGGAAAACAACTTTCCAAAAGTGTGACCCACACAAATTTAGTTCTGTTACCAAAAACGAAAGAAGTCAGTACCTTTTCAGACTTACGCCCGATAAGTCTTAGCAATTTCGTCAACAAAATCTTTTCAAGAGTAGTTCATGACAGAATGGTGGGCATATTACCAGGCTTAATATCAGAGGAGCAAGCAGGGTTTGTGAAGGATAGAAGCATAGTGGAAAATGTTTTATTAACTCAGGAGATAGTCACAGATATGAGGCTCAGAACTAAAGGGGTCCTAATGTTGTGATCAAACTCGATATGACGAAAGCATATGATAGGTTGTCATGGCTATTTCTTACTAAAGTGCTGAGGAAAATGGGATTCTCTGAAAGGTTTATTGGATTGGTATTTGATTTGGTTGGAAATAATTGGTATTCAGTTCTAATAAATGGACAGCCACATGGTTTTTTCAAACATCGAGGGGAGTAAAGCAAGGGGATCCATTGTCTCCGACACTTTTTATTCTGGCTGCTGAAGCTTTGTCAAGGGGATTGAATTCTCTGCATACAAACCTGTACTTTTGTGGCTTTGGACTGCCTAAATGGAGCCCAAAAATCAATCATCTTACCTACGCAGATGACACCATAATCTCCAGTTCTTCTGATGCAACTTCTCTTCGACTCATCATGGAGATCCTACAAGTATATGAAATTGCATCAGGTCAGCTGGTTAATAAAGGTAAATCTGCTGTATATATTCATCACTTGGTAGATCAAGAAGTAGTAAGGAAAGTAGAGAGGACTACTGGAATTGGTATGCAGGACTTCCCCTTCACCTATCTGGGATCCCAATTTTCTATGCTAGGAGGAAGATTGAACACTATCAAGGATTGTTGACCAAAGTCCTTGACAAATTGCAAAGCTGGAAAGGTAAACTTCTATCCATTGGGGGTAGAGCAGTCTTAATAACTAATGTCTTACAGAGCATGCCCATTCACTTGTTATCCGCTGTCAATCCTCCTAACTATGTTATTAACAAGCTTCATAAGATGCTTTCACAATTCTTTTGGAGTAGTTCTGTGGGTGGTACTAGTAGGCATTGGGCTTCTTGGACCAATCTGTGTATGCCATATGAAGAAGGAGGCATTAGGTTTAGATCTCTACATGACGTAGCTAAGGCACTTTTCTGCAAGCTTTGGTGGATTTTCAGGACTAACCAAGCCTTTGGAGTTCCTTTATGAGCCAGAAATATTGTAAAAAAATGAATTCGGTGGTAGCGCCATGGAAGGGAGGTTCTCATGTCTGGAGAAAAATGATTGAATGCAGAGAATTAATTGAACATCAAATTTTCGGGCAACCTAGAATGGGCTCATCATTATTCTGGTATGACAATTGGACAGGGCTGGGTGCTTTATACTTTCTTGTTCCTGCAGATTTTGCGATTGATGATAACATACACAACGTTAGTGATGTGGGTGAGGATGGTCAATGGAATGTGGAAACTCTATTGGAGGTCTTACCAGAGGAGTTTGCAACACATATAATTGAGAGAGTTAAGCCTCTAGTTATATCTAATTTAGATGTTCCTTTTTGGATGCTGAAAACAAAGGGTAATTTCACTGTAAAGTCAGCATGGGATTATTTAAGGAGGAGGGAGGATCCTAGAAGAGCATATTGTTTGATTTGGGTAAAAGGTATGCCTTTTAAAATTGCTTTCTTTATGTGGAAATTATGAAGAGGAAAGCTGCCTCTTGATGACTTCATGCGTAGATTAGGCTATTCAATGGCATCTAAGTGTTGGTGTTGTGCATAACCAAATGAAGAAACACTAACACACCTATTCTATACAACAAATGCAGCAAGGATAGTGTGGAAATTTTTTCTAAACAGGGCAGGAGTAGCAACAGAGGGACTGAGTTTGCATCAGGTAATAACAAAGTGCTGGACAACACCTGTACTGCCAAGAATTAAACCAATACTACAAGTCCTACCTTCGTGTATCTATTGGGAATTATGGAAAATGAGAAATAGCTTAAAACATGGTGAAGTTGTATTTTTTAGTCGGGTTATTTATCAGGTGTCCAACACATTACAATCACTGATAAAACTGAGAAAACCAGGACTGCATGTTCCTCATAAATGGCAAGACATGTTATTGGTGCTTGAGAATTATACTCCTAAGCTGAAATTTGAGAAAGTGCTTTGGGAGTTTCCATTGGAAGGTTGGATTAAATCTAATACTGATGGTGCATCTAGAGGCAATCCGGGAAGAAGTTCGATTGGGGTGTGCTTGAGAGACGAATATGGTGATGTTCAGTATGCTGCAAGTAGAGAAATTAATGAGGGCTTAGACAATGAAGCTGAAGCTGAAGCAATGGTGGAGGCATTGAGAATATGCAGGTCATTGAATTACTCTAACATATGGCTACAAACTGACTCGTTATTACTGAAAAATATAATAGATGGCATATGGAAACCTCCATGGAACATTGTGGAACAAGTGGAGGAAATAAGGAGATTGAAGGAGAGATGCAACCTAAGAATATCACATGTTTTTAGAGAAAGGAACAAGCTGGCAGATCACCTAGCAAACTATGCATTGGATTTTAGTCCTATTGAAGCGTATCATTTTAGAGATCTGGACAATCAAAGCAGGAAGATAGTAAATGAAGATAAATCACAATGCCCGTATATCAGAGTGAAGATTTCAAGGAGCTAAAGGATGCAACAAAGGGGATCAGTGCTATTACCAAACTCAGATCACGGAATATACTATTACTTGCAGACATAGAAGGAGTTCTGGTGTTTTTTGCTGCGAAGGCTCGATTTATTAAAGACACCGAGGAAGCTGCAGAATTTCAGAATTTTATAATTAGTGTTGAGATGCTTATTGCTGATGCCGGCCATCTTTTTTCCTTTCCATACAAAGAGTCTGCTGGTGCTAATATTGGTCCTTCTCATGGTTTTTTGGCTAGCCTTGGCCATGCACTTAAACTGAATGACTTTTACCATGACACTGTCCACCAGTTTGCTACTACTTATCATGATTACGTGGTCTATAATTATAGCGAGGGTGATGAGGGAGAAAAAAATACAGGGCGGGGACTTTTACAACAACTGGCATAGAGATGGATACTGCTAGGAAAAACAAGAAGATATCTGTCTAGTCTCTCTTCTTCTGCTAGCAGTACTTCCGAAAATGCTAGGATTGGTTGTCAAACTGGAAAGATGTATATGATAATGTCTTACCTTACTGAAGAACTACAGATGGTAGTATCAATGCTATGCATTTAATCAACTAGAAGGATACTAAAGGGTAACATTGGCATATCAAGGAGAAAAATCAAGTTACAGGAAACCAAAGATTTTGGAGAATTAACTCAACTTAACGTGCAGCAAAACACAAGAAGTTATGAAGTGGTAATACTACTCGATGTTCAACTGCACATGGATGTCGACACATATTTTGATACTGTATATGCACTTTTGTCAAGTTTAAGAATAAAGCTTGGGAACATAATCCTTAAAAGATGGGCTGGTCATCACACCTATTTGAAATATGGGACAGTGTGCTTCTTAAGTATGCAAGGCTGGTTCACATGGGGGAGAGCACACAAATCAATGGATGAAAGAAACAACTTTTTTGGCTCTAAAAATGGGCTGAATAATTGCTGCTTTCATGAGGCCCGAGGAGCAAGCATGTTTCAATTGGAGATGGCGAGATTTAGAAACGAAAACTGGGAATCTCTATGGAATGGCTCAGTCTCATATGCAGCTTCACACAGGCATCACGTGATATCCAAGACAACTGGACAAAAGATAGTCAAATGTCTGATAACGTTTAGTTGGCCAGAGGAACGTTTGCGTTACTTTTGGTAAAAAGCTTTGGTTTGCTCTAAGGCACGCCTTCTTCGTAGGGAAACTAAAAATTGCAACATCAGACCCCGTTGGGAGGAGGAAATAATGCCTTTAAACAATCAAGCGTGCATGCCATTAACAGGGAGCATGGCCCACAGTGATATCTGGACCATTGGAATTTTAGATGAGAGCACTGGAGAGATTAATTTGGTCAAAATTATGGGGCAAAGTTTGGGCATATCAGCAGAAGACATGTGCGCGGGACACAATACAACATACACGACCCAATTTTTTGAGACTTTCAAGAATGCTTTTGGCTGCAAATATCTTTTTCCACACATGATATCTGGAAATAATAGAACAAAACACTCTACTATTTGTGTGGGCAGCTGTAATGAACATGCACAATGCAAGAATGCTAATGCAACAGTATCTCTTAATGCAAAAAACTATTGTGGAATCGAGATAGCTTTGAGGGGGGTTTGGAGCAGCTATGAGTTTGACAAAGCAAGGAAGGGGAAGATGGAACCAAAGAACAAGGAATGGGTAGTTGAGAGGGAGTTGGGCAATACTAACAGTCAATATCATCGAATCTGTGAAGAGGAAAGGGTACTGACAGATGTTTTCAGTAACCATGTTTTCTTTTTTTGCAGGAAATGTTAATATACTCATGCCTTGTCTCCTAATACGACTTCATTGGGTGATATTAGCACTACGTGCTCAATCCCGTGAGAAAGGAAAAGAGACAAGCACAAGCATGAGAGGTTTGAGTAGTATTCCATCGCAAAACTGGAAAATCAGCAAATTTATGGCCAAAATGAGTATCATGTGGATGAATCCTTTGAAAATGCAGGAATATGTATGTTGTGTGATTGATTGTTATACAATAGTCTATAGGAGTGAGACAATACAAGAAAAGAAAGGCAAAAACAACACTCATACGGGCAGCTTTGGGCGTGAGAGGCAGGTTTTGGCAAGGATTTATGAGTAACTGTGATGCGTTGTGGAACTTCCCCCTGAAGCAGATTTCAGCTACAACAATACAGTTAACAGACTATACAAGGAGGCCAGCTGGGAACATGTGGTACAATCACAAAAAAGAGGTCCAAATTTATACAATGGAGCAGGTCATGTGGCAAGGTTATATGCATCATTCGGGTAATTATCGACCACAATGGGCTGACATATCAACGCAGCAAGGTAGAAGGACAAAGCAGGATGAAGCACATGTAACGATATCACCAGAAATCAGTTCAATAATGAACAAAATGCAAGGGATAAACAATGAGCGAAGTCATGGGGGTCTTGAACGTCATAAGTTCTGGACAGTGGCTACTGGGTGCAATCAACTGAAGATGCATATCTGGACCTGTTTTAGGTTTTATTACCTAGGACTAGTTCTTAGTTTCAATTAGTATTTTAGATCATATGTGATATCAATGTTGAACTTCCTCAATATTGATAATAGGTGTTATGTACGCGTCAAATTTTATTTCTTTCATACAGTTAGACCACCTGACACTCAGTTTGTTTTTTGACAAGCCTTAATAGGATTAGTACAGTAAGGTTAGCCCGGTTTATGTTATATGGATAACAATACCGGTGCTATTGTCCCCCTTATTTGTACTTTCCTAATTAATGTATTTTCTTTTCTGTTATCAATAAAAAACTAGCCCTAGGCACTTGCCTAGTGGATTGCCAAAAAAAAAAAAGTTGAAACTTTGTTTCTTCATCAATGCAAACGTATGTTAATTGATGATGCGGAGACTGAGTATAGGTAGTAGCACACGCTCCAGAGATGCTGAATGAAATCTTATAATCTTGGTGAAGTTCTTGATTGTTGTGTATGCTGGTAGAGATTTCGATCCAAGATATTGAATAACTTGCCTGTATCTGTAACTAGACTGATTACCTTTTTGTTAACAAGGAAATTTTCAAATTGAAAACATTACTAAAATTATTTGTCCTAGACTCCTAGGTAAATAAAGGAAGTGGAAAAGGGAAATAATCATAAATGTGTCCAGACTCCAGAAGTTGTTTGAGTTGATTGACTTCGTTGGTGAAAAAGCTGAACTAGGTTGTTTAAGATTACTTGGAACTTCTATTTTTCTGTCTATACTAGTACAAGAAATGGTATCAAGATAGATGAATTGCGAGGATACAAAAAAAGTAAGGAGTCACCTGCGTTAAGAGAATTGACCAATGATCTTTCCAACACTAAACTGCCTGATATCTCCCTGTTTGAACAGTTATTAACCTTACGTGAATTTATGACCAAACAGGAGATCCTAGTGAAAATTTTGTAAATCTCCAAAGATTAATATTCGAGGACAAATGTTATAAAAGGAGGGAAGAATGTTACACTCCGTAAACTTAATAACCT